TTTTTTCAGATTAGCTATGTTCCATGACCTGGCAAGTGATCGGCCTTCAGCATCTTTAAGCGAGTACGCTCCTCCTGCATGCACTCGCTCGACCAGGTATGGTCCTTCCCAATTCGGTTCCAGCTTTCCCACGTGCTTGAGTACATCAACACGTTTCCAAACTAGATCGCCAACCTGGAGTCTGCGAATCTTCACTTTCTTGTCATGAGCCGCGCGCATCCTCTGTTTATACGCTTCCACCCTGACTGCTGCTTTCCCTCGTAGCTCCTCGATAGTGTCTAAAGCCGCTACCATCAAGTCTTCATTCTGTTCTGAATTGTATGCACTCGATCTCTGGGATGGCATCTCGATCTCGACTGGCAGCAATGCCTCCATTCCGTAAGCCAAGCTGAACGGGGTCTCTCCAGTGGTCGACCGCGGGGTCGTACGATACGCCCACAACACAGAGCTCAACTCATAGACCCATGCTCCCGAGGCTTTTTCTAACTTAGTCTTTAATCCATTCAGTATGATTCGATTAGTTACCTCGACCTGACCGTTGGCTTGCGGATGAGCTACGGAAGCAAAATGTTGTTCGATCTTCATATCTTCACACCATGCTCGAATCCTCTTACCATTGAATTGTGTGCCGTTATCGGAGATCAACACCTTGGGTACACCAAAACGGCAGCAAATGTTGTTGTATAGAAACTTAATTACTTTTTCTTCTGTGATCTTCGCCAGGGGCTCGGCCTCAACCCATTTCGTGAAATAATCGACTGCCACTATCAAGAACTTCCGCTGCCCTGTTCCCTGCGGCATTGGCCCCACTAGATCGATACCCCATTGAGCGAATGGTATGGGGGCGCTCATCGTTGTCATCGTCTCCGCCGGTTGGTGGATCAGGGGTCCATGTTTTTGGCATTGCAAGCACTTCTTCACCATCGTTTTTGCATCTTCTCTCATTGTCGGCCAGAAATAACCTGCTCTTAGGATCCTTGCGACCAAGGCCCTCGATTTACTGTGGTCGCTGCAACAACCTTCGTGCATCTCCCTCAGCACATATCGACCCTCTTCCTTGGTGACACAGCGTAAGTGTGGTCCTCCATATGACCGCTTGTAAAGGATACCTCCCTGCTCGAAAAACCTCCTGACCACCTTTACCGCTCCTCCTTTCAGCTCTTCTAGGATCGGGGCCCTCCAATCCTCTACCTCTTCGATCTCCGCCACCTCCGTCTCAACCACACTTTTCTCCAGATGCAATAGAGTGACACTTCTGCTCTTACAATCGACCAAACTTTGGGCAATTTTCGACAACAGGTCTGCTCGACCGTTCTCTCCTCGAGGAATTTGTATTAGTTCGAACGATTCAAACTCCTCTCTCAACTTCTTCATTTCATCTACATATTTCTGCATCCGATCCTCTTTGACGTCAAAACCTTCTTGAAACTGCCCAACCACCAGTTGGGAATCGGAATGTACTTGCAACTTTCGAGCGCCCCCTGCTTTGGCCAGACTCAGTCCCTTAATCACCGCCTCATATTCAGCTTCATTATTGGATATCTTAAACCCCACCTTAACCGCGAATTCCAAATAATCACCCCTGGGAGACACTAGAACAATTCCCAATCCTGCTCCGCTTCGGGCTACAGATCCATCCACAAACAACTGCCATAGTCCCTCTGACTCCTCCTCGACTTTCGTGCCTTCCTGGATATAATCGGCCAACATCTGCGCCTTTATGGCTCTCCTTGGCTCGTACATCAGAGAATACTCGCTCAGTTCAACCGCCCACTTCACCAATCGACCAGAGACCGATGGCCGACCCAATGTTTCTCCCAACGGCATATTCGTTCGCACCTTCACCTTATGATTCAAGAAATACGGTCTCAACTTGCGAGCAGTTACAACCACAGCTAGCGCACACTTCTCGATCTCCGAATATCTCGTCTCTGCTCCTTGCATCACTCTACTCACATAGTAAATAGGGAGTTGCGCTGTTCCCTCCTCCCGCAACAATACCGAACTTACAGCTCTCTCCCCGATGGAAATGTATAGCACCAGCTCCTCTCCTTGCACGGGTTTGGCCAATAAAGGGAGGTTGGCCAACACCCCTCGCAGCTCCTCAAATGCTTTTTGCGCCTCCTCCGTCCACTGGGACTTCGCGCTCTTCTTCAGGGTTCTGAATAACGGGCAACTCTTTTCCGCCACCTTCGATATAAAACGACCCAGCCCCGCAATTCGACCGGCTAAAATCTGCACCTCTTTTACGTTTGTTGGTGACTTCATCTCCATCACAGCTCGAACCTTCTCCGGATTGACTTCAATACCCCTCTTAGTCACCAGATAGCCCAAAAATTTTCCCGACCTCACTCCGAAAGAGCACTTGGCCGGATTTAGCTTCATCCCGTATCTCCGCAACGTCAAGAATGTTTCTCTCAAATCTCGCACATGATCCAACTCCTCTCTACTCTTCACCAACATATCATCCACATATACCTCCATATTCCTTCCCAGCTGCTCCTTAAAAATCTTATCGACCAACCTTTGATATGTGGCACCCGCATTCTTTAAACCAAACGGCATGAACACGTAACAGTAGGTCCCTCGACTAGTCACAAAACTCACTCGCTTCCTGTCTTCTCTAGCCAAGGGAATTTGATGATACCCTTGGGATGCATCCATCAGGCTCAGCAACTCACACCCTGCCGTTGAGTCGACCAGCTGGTCGATTCTGGGCAGTGGGTATAGATCCTTCGGACACGCCTTATTCAAGTCACGAAAATCAATGCACATTCTCCATTTTCCTTCCGACTTCGACACCATCACCGTGTTCGACAACCACTCAGGGAATTGAATCTCCTTAATATGCCCTGCTCCCAACAATTTCTCGACCTCCTGCTCAATAATCTTGTCCATCTCCGCCCAATGGTGCCTCCTCTTCTGCTTCACCGGTCTCACGCTGAGGTCGATATTCAGTCCATGTTCAATCACTTCCGCACTTATTCCTGTTAACTCCTCAGCTGTATAAGCAAAAATATCAGCGAACTTCCTTACCAAATCGATCAGCCTCGACCGAATGGGTTCCTCCAGATCTTTCCCAATTCTAAACTTTCTATTTTCGCAACCCTCAATCATCTGGATTTCCTTAACTTCTCCTCCAGGCTGGATGTCCATCTTCTCCTTACCCTTCTCCACCTTTTGTTTCTCTTCCCTCGATCTTGATCCTCCTGGTCGATTGATATCCTCCCCTTTCAACTCAGCCTGTCTTTTCGCCAATTGCTTGTTATTGCTAACTGTTGTCTGGTAGCAGCTTCTTGAAGTAAGCTGATCCCCGACAATCTCCCCTACGTTTTCGCCCACTGGATATTTGATCGTCATGTGGTACGTGGATACGACCGCCTGGAATGCATTCAGGCTCGTCCGCCCCATAATGATGTTATAGGACGACTCAGCCCCTACAACGACGAACCTCACCATGCGCACTTTCCTCAGCTCCCCTGATCCCAGCGCCACGGGCAATTTGACCTCCCCCATCGGCATAACTTCTCCTCCATTAAAGCCATAAAGCGCCGTGGCTACCGGCTTCAGCTCCGTATTCAGATCCTTGTTAATCTGCACGAAACAATCATAGAACATGACATCCACCGAACTCCCAGTATCAATGAACACCCTCTTTACATCAAAGCCCGCAACCTCCGCGGTTATCACCAGAGCGTCATTGTGTGGTAAGACTACCCCCTCAGCATCCTCCGCCTTGAAACTTATTATTGGCATGCGCGTTGTAATCCCCACCTCCTCTCTCTTTCTCTTCACCGCTTGCGCATGCTCCTTCCTCGATCTGTTCGAGTCACCATCTGTCGGCCCCCCAGAAATCATGTAAATCGTTCCTCTTTTCAGCGGGGCCCCTCCTCCTTGTCCCTCTTTATCTCCCTCCTTTCTCGACCTTTTTCCTCGACCATCCCCTCCATCTCCTTCTTCATCTCTATCACCCCTCTCCTCGGAATCCTCTCTACATCTTCTCCTGCCCTTTCCTCTCACCCTGTCGTGATAGACAAACTCCTTCAGATATCCTGCCCGAATCAACCTCTCGATCTCATCTTTCAAATGCCTGCAGTTCTCCGTGGTATGGCCGTAATCCTTGTAAAATCGACAATACAAATCCAACCGGGGCCGATGCGGGCCAGTGAACCTTGTCTTTGGCCAAGTTACGTCCTCAGTCGACATCTTCTGCTCCATAGCCTCGAGCACTTCTGTCATATCTCTCCTCAAGGGAGTAAAGTTGTGGTACCTCTGCCTCTCGAACACCATAGGCCTCCTCTGCCATTCATCTCTCTTTTCCCTTTTCGCATCTCCACTCCTCCTTCGAGGAGACGCTCTCCTCTGCTCGCTCCTCTTAGGCGAGCTCCTCCTTGGTGATCTCCCCCTAGGGCGGTTTTGCTCCTTCTTCGGTTCTGGTTGGGACATCCCCTCGAGCTTTGCAAACTCCATCTCCATCTCTTCCAGATTAATGTATTTCCTGCACCGCTTTAGGACATCCTCGTATGATCGAGCCGGGGTCTTTGCCAAAGAAGTTCGGCAGGGCCCTGCTCGAAGAATCCTAATCAATCCTCCTGCTTTCACCTCATCTGAAGCGGAGTGCACTTCCAAACATGTTTGATTATATCGGGCAACATACTTTCTCAGCGATTCCTTCTCCCCCTGTTTCATCGCCATAAAGGTCAAGTAAGTCTTCTCTTGTGCCACTGCGCTCGAGTATTGGTTGGTGAGCTTGCTGGCAAGATCCTCAAAATCAGCAATCGATCCCGAAAGTAATTGATGAAACCAGTCAAGCGCTCCTCCGCGTAAGGTCGATAAGAACGCCCTGCAACAAACAGAATCAGAGTATCCATGCAACACCGCCATATTCTCAAAGGTCCTCACATGCCTCGATGGGTCAGATGACCCGTCATACACCAAGTTGGTCTCCTTGAAATTGTTTGGCAAAGGAGCAGCGAGGATCTCCCTTGAAAAGGGATGTCCTCGAGCTCTCCTCTCTGGCCTTCCCTCCACCTTATCTTGCAACTGGCGCAACTGCTCTGCCATCCTCTTCATTGTCCGATCTCTTCCAGCTCCTCCTTCCCCATAACTGGACACATCCTCATCCTGGTTCCCCGTTGCCGTTGTCGGCGCAGTGGTGGCGTGCGATGTGTGACTTGTGACCTGTTGCACCGCCTGCGCTGCCGCGGCCGCTGCTATCCTCTGCATCTCCTCCCGGGTCATCGTAACCACTTGCTGGCCCGGGGTTTGTATGGCTACCTGCGGTGGCACTCCTCCTTGTGCCTGCACTCCTCCTTGTGCCTGCACTCCTCCTTGCCGTTGTGTTGGATCTGGTGGTGGTGGTGGTGGCATCGCCGCTGCCGCTGCTAAACGAGCCTCCTGGGCCTGACTGGAGCTGGCACCTCCGCCGGGAACCACCGTCGTCGCCCCTACACCTTGGAAATTAGGTGCGGGAGTGACTGGAGTCTGCGATGGGCCAGAAAAACCCGGAGGAGGGCCGTGCCCTAATGGCCTGGTCGTCGTCCAAACTTCGTCGAACGTCGACTGCAAATTTCTAGGGATTCCGTCCGCCATAGCTGAGCTTCAAACACAACGTTTTGAACAAAAAATCCCCACAGAAGGCGCCAATAATGCAAGTGTAAGCGTCCGGGTCCGGTTTGGAGTAGATCGGTTCTTGTCCTTGCCGGTAGAACGCCGAGAACCTGCAAATAACTCTCACACCGGGGGTTGGATCTGGTGAAGAGCCTCCGATGCCTAAGTCAGTATGTGTATGAGTATACTGGAATTTAGAGAATGAATAGAACGTGTTAAGGAAGAAAGGCTCATCCCCTTTTTATTGGGGTGAGATACCTGCCCTAATAGCTGCCCGGATAAGGATACGTGTGCTGCCCAAGCTGCCCGTCCGTACTCTGACACGCCGCGCACATGTCAGACGTGCCGCGGGACGTTTGGGCACTGTCAGAGGTGGTTATCGCTATCACCCAATACATTGTAGACACGTGTCCACCCGGCACATGGGGTAAATATTCTCCTGAAGCTCAGTCGGAGACCTCCACGCGCGTCTGCTATACACGCGTCTGGGCTTATATTGATCAGCTTGCTCGATCACTCAGCTTGCTCGATCGCTTATCTGATCGATTGATGGGTAGCTCGAGCAGTCTGATCGAGCGTCAGGCTACTCGAGCGCCGGTGCAGTCGAGCTTTGGGTTGTTCGATCGCTTGTGTGGTCGAGCCCTGGGGCTGCTCGATCCCTTGGATTTCCGCCTTTCGGCTTGGTTTGCTCCCGGTCTGCTCTTCCCGACCGGCTCACCAAATCGGCTCGTCTTTGTACAGATAATATCCTATATCATCATGCATAAGGCCTAATTTCATGAGTCGACGGGTGAGAGTTGACGGAGACATCTGGGAATGCTGGAAGGAAATTAGAAGGATTTATGGAGCAAGGGGAGAGAGCACCCCGAGTCGAGCAGCAACCCCACGTTGAGCAGACACCTAGGGTCGAGAAGCCCCAGGTCGAGCGGGAACAACACGGCCAGTCAAATGAAAGACAGAGCAGGAGGGCAGACGAGTAGGAGTCCTCAACCAGAACCATCAACCCGCAGGCGAGGAATGACACACTAGAGCAGCTGATGCCCAAGTTCGCGATTTGATGGTTCGAGTAGAAGGAAAGAAAAGCGGACGCTCGAGGGGGCACCCGTTCTCACATAATATGCTGGATGTCGACTTGCCGCATGAATTTAAGGAGTTGAGCATATGGTATGACAGGTCCGCTGACCCATCTAGACATTTGAGAAGTTTCAAGAACATGGCAGTGCTACATCGCTATAGTGATCCCGTCCAATGTCGAGCTTTCTTAAAAACATTGCGAGGATCTGCACAAGATTGGTTTTATCAACTACCACCAGGAGCTACAGGGACTTTGACGGGTTCAACTCAAGTTTCATCAATCAATTTGGGAGTGTCAAAGCCCAGGAGAAGTCGTACCTCACTTTGATGGGAATGCAACAGAAAGAGAGAGAATCGATGCGAGACTATGTGGCGAGATATACGCGGGCATGTGTCGACGTGCACACGTCAATGGAGGAGATTAAGTCGAGAGGGCTGACTAGAGGGCTGTTATCTGGATTATGCAAGAATTATTTGGCGAAGCGACCTGGTAGGTCGTCTGATGAAGTGTTGAGGAGATGTGCGAAATGCATGAATGTGGAGGAAGCATAAGCCGACTTTCTACAAGAGGTAAAGGTAACCAAAGGGGACATTCGAGACGAGAAGAAAGAAAAGAAAACTCACTCGTCAGGGAAAAGGAGACGATCCCCGCTAGCAGAAAGAGGAGAGGGGCGATCTAGGGGATGGAGACCAATTCAATATACCCCTTTGTCGGCTCCACATGCGAGAATACTGGAGGTAATAGAGAATGAGATTCATGAGAATGTGGTGAGATGGCCAGGACAAGGAAAGATGGACCTGTGAAGGCCAAAAGGAATTTGTAATATCGATTGTACAAAGACTACGAGCACAACACTGACGATTGCAGGGACCTCAAAGAGGAGATTGAGAGGTTGATCAAAGTTGGGCACTGGAAGGAATTCATATACAAGGATAGGGAGAGGTCGAGTAGGAGGAGAGAAAGAAGTAAAAGCCCTCGCAAGAGGGCGAGATCACCGGAAAAGGAGGAACTCTCCCCGAAGAGAGGAATATAATTCATATGATTTTTGGCGGACCGACAGATGGAGACTCGAACCAAGCAAGGAAGGCGTATACTCGGGGTCGACATGAGAAGGTTGAGTTGCAACAGGTAGAAGAGAACGGGCCAGTGATAAATTTTGGGTCTGCAGATATATGGGAAAGTCGAGAGACCCCATAATGATGCTTTGATGATAACGGCGTAAGTGTCAGGGTATTAGGTGTAGAGAGTGTTTGTCGACACGGGGAGTTCAGTGAACGTCATTTTTTACGATTGCCTCAAAAGGATGGAACTCAACATCGAAAGCACGCTCTTACACACATCACTCTTTGGATTCAATGGGTCAAAAGTGGCCCCTCTTGGTGAAACAATGTTGGTAGTAGTCTTGGGAGAAGGTGGCTTGAGGAAGGTAAAAATGGTTAGATTCGTGGTGGTGGATATCGATTCGGCCTACAATGTGATCTTAGGAAGGTCGACATTGAACGCTTTTCAGACAGTGGTGTCTACTTACCACATGAAATTGAAATTCCCTGTAGGAAATCGAGTAAGAGAGGCTCGATGAGACCAGAAGCTGTCGAGAAATTGCTATCAGATAGCGGTGAAAACCAATCAGCGAGCTGAAATCAAAGAGGGCAAGAAGCCCGTGTCGGGAGAGAAAAAGACGAGTGGAAGCGACCTCGAACCACATGGTGAATTGATGGAAATGCAAATTGGAGAAAGAGAGGAACAAACCACCAAATTCGGGAAGGAGTTAGAAGACGAGCTGAGGAAACAACTTGTTTAATTGTTAAAGGAATTCAGGGACATATTTGCCCTCACCCCAGAGGAATTGACGGGAATCGACCCCAAAATCATGGAGCACAAACTCAATGTCGACACTCTCAGGAAGTCGGTGAAACAAAGCCATTGAATTTGAAGTGGATAAGTTGCTGAGAGCATGACATATCAAGGAGATCCATTTCCCGGAGTGGATATCTAACACAGTGATGATGAAAAAGGCATTGAACAAATGGCCGCCTGTGTATCGACTTTTGAGACTTAAATCTGGCATGCCCAAAGGATCATTACCCGTTGTCGAGAATCGATCATCTAGTCGAATCCACGGCTGGTTGCGAGTTGCTAAGTATGATGGATGCATTCCAGGGGCACCACCAAATTCCCTTGGCACTAGAAGATCAGAGTAAAATGAGCTTTATGACGAGCAAATGAACTTATTGTTATGTCGTCATTCCATTTAGACTGAAGAATGCGGGGGCGACTTACCCAAGATTGATGGATAGGATGTTCAAACCACAGATCGGGCATAATATGGAGGTATATGTGGACAACATCTTGGTGAAAGCAGATCATCGACCTCACACACTTAAAATTTGAGAGAAACATTCAAAACACTCAGAACGTTAGGAATGAAGCTGAACCCAAGCAAGTGTGCCTTTGGAGTAAGGGCAGGACGATTCCTAGGATATGTTGTCACTGAGTGAGGGATTGAAGTGAACAAGGAGAAGGTGAAGCCATTCTCGACATCACCCCACCTTGGAATATCTGTGAAGTACAAATCTTGACGGGTCGGATTGCAGGGTTGACCAGATTCATCGCTCGAGCCGCTGAAAAGGGTTTTCCATTCTTTAAATTGCTCAAGAAGAAGTCGACTTTCCTATGGAGTGAGGAAGCCCAGATGGCATTCAGAAGTTGAAAGAATTCTTGAGCGAGATACCCTTGTTGACAAAGCCAGAGCCCAATGACGAGTTGGTGTTCTACATCTCAGTCGGGCTGGTGTCTTCATGCTCAGTATTACTTAGAGAAAATGAGGGTTCCCAACAACCAATCTACTACACCAGCAGAATACTCCAAAGAGCAGAGACGAGATACACTAAAGTCAAGAAAGCAGCATTAACTCTGGTGATAACGGCTAGGAAGTTGTGGCCGTATTTTCCCAATCACACTGTGGTGGTAAGAACGTTTCCAACTGGGAGAAACACTGGGGTGACCTACTATGTTGGGACGACTTGTCAAGTGGGCAGTGGAACTGAGCGAGTACACCATCAAATATGAGCCTAGACGAGCAATAAAGGCCCAAACGTTGGCCGATTTCATCCAGTAGTGCACCAAGGCGAAAGAGAAGAAAAGGGTGATGCATGTCGATGGATCCTCTGCACCCAAACGATATAACTTTGGAGTCTTCCTCATGTCTCTCGTAGGCGAACAACTAAACTTCTCTATCAAAATGGGGTTCAAAGCCACGAACAATGAAGCGGAATATGAGACACTCATTAAAGGGATTC